GTCTGTGAGGGAGTTTTTAGCCAGTAAACAAAGCACTGTATTGGAACACCCTCCCTACTCACCTGATCTGGCCCCCAATGACTTCTTTCTTTACCCAAAGATAAAGGAAATATTGAAAGGAAGGCATTTTGGATGACATTCAGGATATCGAGCGTAATACAATGACAGCTCTGATGCCATTCCAGAAGAAGAGTTCCAAAACTGCTTTGAAGGGTGGACTAGGCGCTGGCATCAGTGCATAGCTTCCCAAGGGGAGCACTTCAAAGGTGACCATAGTGATATTCAGCAATGAGATACGTAGCTCTTTTTTTCTAGGATGAGTTCTCAAACTTAATTGTTTGAACATGTATATTTTCCTCAGTAACCTTTGAGGAAAATGGTTGACTACACCAAAGCAGATTTCAAATAGTCTTGAGTGTGCTAGTAAAATTCACCATAATAGTATCTAGATTTCCTTAAAATTTATAATAATATACAAGTTTCCCTAAAACTTGATCTAATTATCACCATAACTCTGTATTTATGTTGGCCTATTCTACAAAAGGAACAACCATACAACAACCAGTATCTGTAAGTCATAGATAAATAATGTCCCTAGCAACTGCTTCAGATCTTCAATTTCTTTTATTATGACCGAATTTTTAACAGATTCCTTCCTCATGGCTCCTGCCTTTTGGTTGTGTATCTCATTTACAGTTTACGCTTATGCCATAAACTCTGATTGTTTCCACCGACTTCCGGCTTTGCAGCACATCATTTCCTAAATGAATGTAATGTGAACTCTCTGCTCTGGTCCTCTCCATTTTAGGTTACCATAAATATGCGATGCTTTAAGCCCTTTGGACAAAACACATCTCATCCCAAAACAGAAGCAGATTCAGACACTGACTACTCTTCCTAAATACTGAAACTTGAATTCCGTTCTTGACTAATCCTATCCATCACTTTGCTCAAAGCATCTTCTTCTTCTTCTTTTTTTTTAATGAACTCCTAGTATTAAATACTGATATTTTCTTACCTTCTTCCTTTCCCCTACTCCCTAACTGTTTCAATTAGCACGCTATGGTATCAATTGTTCTCACAATAAAGCAAGCTTCAAGTCATTGAAGACTAGACATGTGAGTAGTAAAAATAATAAAAGAATATTATATCAACCAAGCAAGCTGAAGAGGGGACTAGAAATTGAACCAGCAGAAGATGGAACAGCAATTTTATATAGAAGATTCAGAGATAAATTTTATAATTGAAATTCATTTCAATTACTTCAAGAAATTCAGCTGGAGATAATGTCTATAACATTCTATAGATAGTAGCTATAAGCAATGAAAAACTATAAGACAATTTACATATTTATAGAATATGAATAAATAGTTCTTAATAAATGACAATAATCATGTGGTTAGCAGAATTATCAGTAGTATTAAAGACCTTTAGAAAACTCCTTATAATGAATACATTTTACCAAAAATTTCATAACATTCAAAATAATTCCAAAGCCCAATATACAATGATATATTCTATGCAACTTCACAGATATGAAATAAAATAACCTTTGTAAGATGAATATTTTACTCCTATTTATGCACATATAATAGTCATTTGCCATAACATAACCTATATCCATATATATGGATATGTCTATATGTACATACATACACCTGCATGTACTTTATATAACTTTATATATATATATATATATATATATATATATATATATATATCTCCAAATTGATTATCAGCTTATCTAAATTGGTGGTCAATATACAACATTCAGTGAACATCTCCTCTGTATAAAGCACATAAAAAAGCAGGTGACATGCCTGAAATCAATGAGTTTATATTCTACATAGAGCACCAAAAGACACTTCACATGAACTTTACAGTTTTATAAAGCATATCATCATATGGAGCAAATCAATACAGTTGGCATGAGTGCTCATGAGGAAAAAGTTTTAAATGGGATACATTTGCTTTTTAAGCCTATGTTTTTATTCAATGGGTAACTTGTGAAATTTAAGGGCTTGAGGACATTCCTGTGCTATACTTAGAACACACATGTCCTCAATTATATTGAAATCAGACTAATGACAGCCTGGGTATTTTCTGTAGGCCTTCTAATCATGTTACTATAATGCAAATATTTGTACCCCAGTCTACTCAGAAACAGGTCCCCTGAAATATATCACAAATACAATGTTTCACAAATAAATAAAGTTCACTCTTGTTAATTATACTACAATGCCATCTTCATGTCTACCGCTACCTAATGTTCAAATCAAAACAAAACTCGAAAGATTTTTAAAAAGCACAAGCTCTGGAGTTTAAAAACCTGCAGTTAAGTCCCAGAAATGTCACACAGGCCTTTGGTAAGTAAGCTATTCCCTCTAAGCCTTAGTTTTCCTATTTATAAAAATACCTAACTTACAGTATTGTGGAGAATAAACTACATACTATATGTAAAATATCTAGCACAGTGCCAGGTACATAGTAGGCACTCAATAAATGTAAGTTCCTTTCTATTTCCACTGTCCTCAAAGCAGTACATAATTTAGCACAAAACACTGAATGAATGCTATGCTAAATGTAGAATTATCAGCCTTTAATAAATTAAATACTTCTTTATGTTTTAACTACTAAGAAGCAATTTATATTATTATTAATATCTACTTGTAATAATTAATAAGATATATATATATATATGAGAGATACACAAAGCATAAATTATAAAACAATAGTAGTGGTAAGACTAATGAATACATCACATTATATTTGTGCTACATTATTATATGACTTTTCCCACATCAAGAAAATCACAAACAGAACATTAATAATATAATGGAAGATATTTAAGAGATTGAAGAAATTCTTAGGAAAATGTTCCTTGACATGGCTCTTGGCAATTATTTTTTAGATATAACATCTAATGCTGCATAAAATATAATTATGGCTAACTTTAATAAAAATACTTCAAAGAAAAGTAAAAAAACTAATTATACTTACATGTTTCCGATGTGCAAGCTTTCCTGTTTTATTAGTTTTAGGCTGAAAAAAGACATCTTTAAAGAGCTTATCTTCATATCTTTTGTATATGTAAATCCATTGTGTTTGACATTCATTACTAAATTTTTGTGGATGTTTTTTATACAGACACAAGAAGCTGAATATAAGGAGGGAAAGTTGTCATTTAGTGTTTTGCCAAACAAAACAAAACAAAACAAAGAAAACTACTTATGAGTGTACTTATATCTTAGAAAGCATGGTGGTAAATTTAATATAATACTTGTTTTCATTACTATATAAAACTTTTTAGGACTAAGGTTTGCTTATCAACATTCATCAGAAGATAAATGAGTGCTGAGAAATCTCTGGTTATATGAATCCACGAACAATTCTGTACTTACATCTGGCTATGCATTTTATAATATAACGGCAGGGAGAACGTAACTAAATTATCTAGAGAAATATAAGGTAATCTCTCTTTATTTTTCCTCTCCAGTGAGGAAGTAACTTTTTATTTCCACCTAGGAAAATTACTGTAGAGCAGTACTATTCAACAGAATATAACGTATGTCACAAAATAATTTAAAATTTTCTATTAACCAGAATAAAAGAAAGTTAAAAAAATAAGTGAGATTAATTTTAATAGTATGTTTTATCTAACCCAATATATCACAAATATTACCTGATAAATAGCATAAACAAACTAATAGCATACTTAACAGTGAAGTTTTTTAACGTTATCAAACTTTTGGCCTTTCACAACATGTTTTTCTGATCCCAGAAGGGCTCTTCTTAGCTGTCTTTTCTCCTGGTTCTCTTGGGTAAAATTCAAAGCTTACAGTTTAGCTTTCTACTCTCATGGAGCTACCAGTCTTTTCTTAATTATTTATCATTTGCTGGGGACAAGGGTGATCAGAGCTCTAGTATTCTCTACCTACTGCAGTTGGGTTAGAGCGTCTGCCCTACAAGTGAGGGCTAAGAGGAGGAAGAGAGCCCAAGACCTCTCAGCCACTCTTGCCTGGAATAGAGTCTCTAAAATATTCTTAAATTAATTTTTTTAAAAGGATCTGACTATGAAGCAATTTATTTTCTGAGGCAATTTTCAAAACAATAGGATAACCAGCTAATAATAGCGGAGGCTAACATTAGTTTAGAGAGTTTAACAGACAAATCAGAAAAAGAGGCAATTAAAGACAGTCCTCCTAAAATCACTGTTGTCATCCCATGGGTGGCTGCACCCAGCCAAGGGTACGCCCTCTAGGGGGCAATATCAGAGGCTACCCAATGAAGGGGAAACTGACTTCATTAAAATAGTCCAGCCTAGTCATTAAATAAATAAACCAGCAAAAACCAAGTCCTGGGTGAGATCAGTATCCAGATTTGTTACAATAGATTATCTAAAATGTCCAGTTTTCAACAAAAAATTATGAGACACACAAAGTGTAACCTATACAGAGATAAAGAGCAGGACTTTGAAACTGCTTTTGAAATGGCACAGATGACAGACATAACAGATTAAGACTTCAAAGCAGCTTTGAATATATTTAAAGAAAATATATTTAAAGGAAATAAACTTCAAATAAGAAAGAAAGGTATAATGACATCTTTTCAAATAGAGATTATCAATAAAAAGATAGAAATTATATAAAAGAACCAAATGGAAAACTTGCAGCTGTAAAGTATGATAACTGAAATAAAAGTCTTATTAGAGTAGTTCAACAGATTTTAATTGGTACAAAAAAAGAATCAGCAATCTTGAAAGACTGATAAAAATTATGTTGCCAGAAAGTAAAAAATAATGAAGACAAGTGACTAGACCCACAAAGAAATGGGGGGCACCATTAAGTCCACCATCATATGAATAATGGGAGTACCAGAGCATAGAAGAGAGAGAAAACAAGGAGAAAAAAATATAGAAGTAATACTGGCTAAAACTTTCTAAAATCTATGGAAACAATAATCTACATATCCAAGAGCTCAACATACCAACAGAATAAACACAAAAAGATCCACATCCAGACACTCCATAATAAAACTTGAATTCCAAAAACAAAAAGAAAATCTTGAAAACAAGCAGAAAAGTTACTAGCCATGGACAAGGGAATCCCAATAGGATTAACTATTGACTTCTCATAAGAAACAACAGAGGTTAGAAAGCAGTAGTATGGAAGAGTCAAAGCACTGGAATAAAGAGAGAGAGAGAGAGAGAGAGAGAGAGAGAGAGAGAGAGAGAGGAGAGAGAGAGGGAGAGAGAAGGAGGGAGAGAGAGAAGGAGGGAGAGAGGGAGAAAGATACCCTATATCTGAGGATAAGGCACCACTGAGAAAATCCTAGGACAAAGGGATGAAGCTTAAAAGTACCGCTCCTGCACCACAGATACCAAGAAAAACTGCATTAGAAGAGTAAAGGAATGGCTACACATTAACCACAGTCCCTCACCCCAGGCCAGCACAGCGCCACACTGAGAAGTCTCCTCTGAGCATATGGTTTTCCAGTGGGAAAAAGACAGCCCAGGGGTGACATGCAGCCCCAGAGCATTGTGGGTTGCTTCATGGAAGGCCCCTACTCTGGTGTTGCCCAAAGTTAGCAGAAAGGAAATAAATGAAATAAAGAACAGGAAAACAATAGAAAAGACAACCAAATTAAGAGAAGGTTCTTTGAAAAGATAAAATTGACAAACCTTTAGCTAGACCAAGCAAGGAAAAAAGAGAAAGAGCCCAAATCAACAAAATTTTAAATGAGAAAGGAGACATTACAGCTGATACCAAGAAATACAAAGGATCAGAAGAGGCTGCTATGAACACCTGTACACAAACAAACTGGACAAACTGAAAAAAAAAATTAAAGAAAGTATTAAAATATTATTAAAATATTTTATAAAATAGTATTAAAATATTAAAAAAATATTAAAGAAATACTAAAGAAAGTTCTTCAGATTTAAAGCAAGTGCCCTCAAACAGTAATTTAAATCCACAGAAAAAACAAAGTGTGCTGGTAAAAGAAATTATGTAATTATAAAACAATACAAATTCATATTTTACTCAGTTTTTTAATCTTAACTAATTTTATAAGTATTTGTATAATACAATATGCATATAAGTTTATTATTGGGTCTAAAACATATATAAATGTAATATATTTGACAACAGCATAAGATGGCAGGTGGGAGCAAAGCTGTTTTGGAGTAATGAAATGACACCATATGGTAACTCGAATTCACAGAAAAAAATTAAAAGAACTAGTAATGTGATAAATATGACTGGTAATATAACAAACCCAATGAATATATACTTGCTCTTTTTCTCTTAGGTCCTTTAAAAGAAATAACACTTTATAAAGTGATAATTATAATAATACAGTGTTGGGATTATAACACATATAGCTGGAATAACATTGACAGCACCAAAAGGAAGAAGAGGGAATATATATATATATATATATATATATATATATATATATGTAACATTTTTATACCTCACTAGATGTAAGTTAGTATAAATCTGAAGTAAATAAATTAAAATATATACTCTAAACCCTAGAAATAACCTCAAGGAAATAACAAAAATGTATACAATTAAATCATTAAAAGAATGTAAATGTGCACTACAAAATATTCACTTAATGCAGCAAAAGTAGTAAAGGGGAAAAAGAGGAACAAAAAGATATGAGACATATCTGTGAATAGTGTTAACATTTAGGTTTATTTTAAATCATCTGGTCTTAATATTTTAGATGATTAAATTTACAATGGCCCTACTTTAAATATAATTTCAATTTTAAAAGAAATTTTAAATTTAAAACAAATTCTTATTAAATAATTTGTTTTTCTAATTACTGATAGGATACATATGTAGAGTGAGAAGAGGCACAAATCATTTCCACAACTTATTGATATTAAAACCTTAATTTCCTTCTCATCAGAGTCATTCATTCATTTGTTCTTTCATCTATTGTTCAGGCATTCATTTATTCAAAATGCACTTTTCTGGGCCGGCCGAGTGGCGCGATGGTTAAGAACTGGCTTGGGACGCCAGAGGGCCCTGGTTTGGATCCCACATATGAGGGCCAGTGACACTGCCCTCTACAAAAAAAAAAAAAAAAGCACTGTTCTGAGAATGTACTGTAAAAATCCAAAGTTCCTAGTCTTATGGAACTTACATTGGAGGAACTTCTTGGTGGAAGATCCTTTTTCTCTCATTAATATGAATTACAAGAAAAAAGAAGTAAACTAAAAAATATATATGTTTTAAATAGATCACTTATTTCATCTCAAAAATATGTGTATAATATTTCCATACCATTTTACTTGAGGATCTCTAAGTAATATTCTAATTAGGAATTGATTTATTAAACTATTGGCCAGGGTACCTGACTTATCTAGTGTCCTTAAAAATTAAAATTCTCATTAGAAAACATGCAATAACTCATAAGTTTAAAAAAATGGGGTGGTTATAAAGATTAGGTTTGCTTCTGAAAATTGGATTCATTAATCCATTAAGATCCTTTTTTTTGGACAGTGTGAAACAGTCTAGATGTCAAGAAGTCAAGGAAACTCATGGGGAAGAGAGGGTTGAATCTTCCATGGAAGTATTCAGATTGACTCTAAACTTCCAAGAATAAAGAATAAAACATGAAAATAAAAAAGTTATGGCATATAGCAGAGTTTACTTTGTGGGTCACAAGCCCCGTGAAATTGTAAGCAATTTTTATTTCACTGTGTGTATATAGATTACACTGAGGATAATGCCCATAACTTTGTTCAGATTCTCAAAGGAATCTGTGACCCCCTCAAACACTGAACCTTGGAACAGATACTAAAATAAACAAAAATGTTCTAAAAGAGTAAAGAAAATAAATTACAATTAAAAGGACAAGAAAAAGCAACAGCCTCAGACATTTAAAATGCACGAGTCAGCAAGATGGCAGCAAAGGCGAAATCCCTGGGACCTTCCTTCCTTATACCCAAACACATCAATTCAGCAGCAATTTAAAGACAAATTCCAACCATGAAAAATCCACAAACTAACTGAAAGGCTGCTGCATCCTGGGTGACTCACCAAAGCTAATAAAAAGGCTGGGACATCCTCTCTCTAGAATCCCTACCTTTGGCACAGCACAACATGATCAGGAAGAGAACTCTTGGCTCCCAGATTCTCC